GAATCTCTTCACCCAACACTTCTACTCGAAATGGAAGTAAGCTCAACAATTATGAAACAAGAAATTCCTCTAAACCCAACTTTTCTTCGTATATGAAATAACTGCCTTAGAGACGAAGAGTAAGAGAAAAACTAAAAACTGTATAAAACCAAGGTAATTAGGAGACGAAAAGACATTTAAACAATTCGAGGCATGCAGGTAGTCCATTTCACCAAACGCATCGAAAGCCATGAGTCTCTTTCCGAGCCAATTTACAACTTAGCTAAAAACAGGGACTCTAAAGTCCCACAGGCTCTGCTCGGAGCGGAATTGAAGAGGCTTAGGGGTGGCAAGATAGAGTATGGGTTTTCACAGGGTAGGAGAGATACAGAAGTAGAGAAAATGTTTAAAAACAAGATTATGAGCGTAGGGTGGCGACGTGCCTGAATCGGTGGGGCAAGGTACCATTGAAAGTACAGCCCCTAAGCCAAACCAATGAGAGATGGTAAAGATAACTAATATATGCTTACTTATTTTAGCAAATGACAGTGTTTTACACAAAAATTGTGGGTAGCTGCAATGAAAGTGTGCGTCTAAACGATCAGGGTTCGAGTCCTTATTAGGCTCCTATCTATAATTGCTTCACACTCAATATCAGCAAATAAATATGAGGCGATACAAAAGCTCCGTTATCGACTAATCATTCGTCTAGAATGCTGTAGATATGATTTGTGTGCGTCACTGACTTCAACTGTCGAGTCCAAAAGCGTAGAAACAATGCCAAAGTTGTGCTAGACATGCAAGTGACTGCAGAAACGCCGCTCAGAAAGTAAACGTTGCCTACTACGGTTGGACTGGCATTTAATAATTAGTAGCTTAAAGTGTATTTTGCAAGAGATATTCGAAGAATGAATCCAGACTAACTTTGCTTCGATATTTTAGGTTGTCACGATGACGGCAAAGACTCAAAAAACATCGGATAACACAATGGAAAAGGTATGGGAAATAGTTCCTCCGTCTGTTGATTATGTGATATTTTGATCTGCTTCATAGTCAATTGCGAATGAAGCCTGAAGGTCAGAAAAGATGCCCTTTTGGCGTATTAGAGACAAAAACTGACAGGATTATAATGGCAAAACGGAAAGACTAAGTACGATTTTAAGAACTGGCAATAAGATGGGTATACAAAAGAAGTAGCACATCATTATTCTTTGGTCCATACATCAAAAGAAAGATCGCATTGCAACCCAGCTCGTCCAGAGATGGATTCCTAAAGGTTATGTGAACTGTCGAATTTGTGGCATACAATTCAGACTAAGAAAAAGTCCCCATTCTCAATCCCGTGTCGTAGGAGACAAGACGAGTCAAAAGCTAACTTCTACCAAGTGATAAATCCCACTCAAAAGTGTGCGATAGCTGAATTTTCCCATAACGGTATGAGAAGGCTTCACGTTTTAAACGAATTCCACCTATCCTTGCTTTCCAGAAAGTGCTCTCATCCCAGCCAGATTGAAAAGCTGTTCCGACCTTGTCAAGGTATGATCAGCACCCACAACAGGAGTCGAATCTGTGTTGTCGTTGTGCAATGTATAATCTCAACATGTTGCCATTACGCCAGACTGCCCCGAGTTACCCTGAGTCATAAATCAGACGTGGATATCAAGGAAGATCACATTTCTCACATCACATTTTCATAAAGGGATTGTCGATGAGGCAAAGTGGTATCTTTTTATCACAACTTACTACTCTATTAAACCACTTTATGCGACCTATGGTGACTGGAACTC